TATATATATATATATATATATATATATATACGTTAAATATATATATATATACTTTTAATATTATAAAATAAGTTTAAAAAATTTGATATATTAATATATATTTTTTATATTGAAAAAGTAAATAATTAAAAAATTTTAATATATATTGTTCCGTTTTTTATTTTTTATTTAATTAAAAAATGCTAATATATTAATTATATTAATATTTCAAAAAATGCAAATATATTATTTATTTAATTATTTTTATTTTTGCGTTTTTGTTTTTTCTATTAATATTTTTATTTCATTAGAAAAAGTAAAAATAATATAAATAAATTCAAATAATTTCATATATATTATTATTTATATTAAAATGAAAATATATTAAAAGTATATTATTAAGAAAAAATATAATAAAAATAAAAATATATGTATGCATATATTATTAATTAAAATATATTAATAATTGAAATTAATAAATAGTTATATTAATATAAATTAATAAGATTAATATATATTTTATACTAATATATATTACTAAATTCATTATATTATATTATATTATATATATATTAATATAATTTATAATATTATTTATAATTTTATGATCAATTTATAATTTTATACTAATGAATTAAAAAATTTTGTTTACTAATTAATAGGATCGGGATGAGCATGTTGTCGAGTTTGAGGGTTCTGGACCCCGACACACGTATAGTCGCTGTGTGGATGCTTCCGCTCGGCGGGAGATGGAGGAGAGGCGCCGTGAGGCTCTCCTGGTACAGCTTGGGCAGACTGGCGGTTTGAGAACTCCCGTTCGTTCGATACAGAGTGGTCAACAGTCAGGGCCACTCATTCTTGCCACTTCGGGAGGTCCCCCTCTGATACAGAGTGATTAGCAGTTCGGTCAGCAGTCCGACTCAGTCATGGCTGGCAGTTCGGGAGGTCTCGTTCGTCCGATACAGAGTGGTCAGCAGTCTGGGCCACTCGTACCTGCCAGTTCGGGACGTCCCCCTCTGATACAGAGTGGTCAACATTCCGTCTCACTCATGCCTCTCAGTTCGGGATGTCTCTCTCGGATACGTATCACTCGGTCGCAGGGTTATTCTTCTGAGTCGGCAGTCAGAACTCCAACGAATGATGATGATGAT